ATTTTCCATGACAAATAGCTTGGCTCTCGAATTCATGAAAAGTAGAATTGAAGGCTGTATTGAATTTCAATTGAGTTATTAAATTTCTTCAAAACTTCATGATGTGCCTGTCATACACTGGCTTTCGATGGTGAGTCTCTGTACCGATTCAACAATCTCTATGTCTTTGTGATGGCTGTAGAATGGTTGAATGCTGCAATGTTTGTGTGTTCGTGTTTGTATGTGTGTGTGAAATCTGAGTATTTGTGTTGTTCTAACCCAATTTATGGTTTTATTTTTCGTTCACTTCTGCTAATAATCTGAACAAATATTAACATTATTTTGGATCAGGTCCAATAGACTTTATAGTAAATGAAAAATTAGAGAGTGAGCGAGAGAGAGAGAGAGAGCGAGAAAGACGACATTAAGAGATGCAGGGGAAAGCTGAAAAACATTTTAATTCTGTGTATGTGGGTAACCGTTACGTTTATCCATAGTCATGCAATTATGTGGTTAAGATAGGTCAAATGGGGCATGAGCATTAATGCATGAGGGGCCTTAAATGAGACTTGAAAACTTTTTCTTTTTATACCCTCCATTAACTTAAGTTTGTCACGATAGACCCTACAAATTCTTAGTCGATTTAGCGACGTCCATCTGTCTGTCTGTTGTAAGAACGCTATCTGTCGAACGAATTGAGATGCATGGCTAAAATTTTGCACATATGTGTATTTTGCCAGTAGGCAAAAATTATGTTCGTAAATGGGCCATGTCGGTCCAGGTTTTCGCATAGCCCCCATATAACGGTACCTCTCAATATTTTGTATTGTGAATATTTTAGCGACATTATTCACCGGAATTGTTTTAAATTTCGTATCTGAAGATCTTAATGGGTACTACAGCCTATGACAAAAATTACATATTCAGGTCCACGTCATCGTATAAATGTATAAGTTTTCCTTTGAGCGGTATTTTTCGACGGAATTTTTGGATATTTTTTAAGTTCCTTAAAAATTGTGGAGGATATCAAATGTTCGGCCTGGTGGAAATGTTTTTATTTTTTTATTTTTAATGATTTTTTTATTTTTGAATGTTTACATCGCAAAGCAACAGTAACAGAAGGCGCCATTATTCCCATTCCTAATTTTTGCAATTTTCGGATCAAGATTCTTTAGAATTCTTGAATAATATAGTTGAAGTACCAAATATCATTGCTGTGGAGTGCATATTAGGGCCCGGACATAATCCACACGGACATAATCTCCATTCCAAATTTTGGTCATAACCCCCATAATGTTATGGGTACTATGTCCGCTTCTAAAACAGACATAATCCCCATGGGAAATATGACCGTTTTTTCGGACATATTCCAAAGAGAGAACACAAGGCTTAAATTGAGTTTACAATAGGTATAAAATTTAGAAGATCTATGGATCGCGTAGCCGGTGTTGGACAGAGGAAAAAATCTCAAGCCCCGGACGAAGAATTGCTACTTAACATATCTATAAAGGTTAGATATATATTAGTGGAGAAAATCATGATTTTTATTACTAATAACTTTGGAACTACAAGAGATATCAACACATATGGCACCATCTTGGAGAGGCAAGAGTGTAGGCTATAATGTAGTCTGTAAATGGTGGGCTGATTTTCGACCTTTTAGGTGTCTTTCAAAAAGTTCCGGTACAAAATACGCATCTTCTGGTTTTACTCCGGAAACAATTCAAGCAACCTTATAATTGTAATGGGGATTATGTCCGTGGGATTTTGACACGGCACCGCATATTACGTATTAAGTTAAGTTACGAGAGGAACATAAACACCTAATCGGATGGTTCATATACAGGGTGAGATGAAAAAACTGCAACCAAATTCAGACTGCTGTCATTCCTAAGCCACTCGTCCGACAGCTGTTACAATTATTCCAGTGACAGCTCATTACATTGTTTACAAGCGTACAAAAGCATTTTTTTTTTTTTTTTTGAGAATTTTCCAGAAAAAAAGTTGTTCGTGATGGAATTCAAGCGTGATAATGTGATTTCTTCATATTTGGCTGGAAAACAACAAGTGGCTATCGTTAGAGCACTTCAGCATTTAAATGTGAATAAATCTTTTGTGTCTCATACCATCGCTCGTTACCGTGATACTGGTAGCGTAGCCCGACGTCCAGGAAGTGGAAGGAAGAAAACAGCAACATCAGCAGAAATGGTTCGAAAAGTAAAGAAACCCCTTGATCGAAACCCGCGTCGTAGTGGCCGAAAAATGGCTCATGAGCTGAACATATCGCAATATTCCATTCGGCAAATATTGAAAAATGAGCCATTGAAATTCCAAAAAGTGCAGGAACTTACACCACAACAGTAAGAAAATAGGCTCAAAAGAGCTAAAGGGTTGCTTCGCCTGCCCGAAATGCTGAACTGCCGAATTTGGTTTTCTCCGATGAGCAGCAGTTCTTAAAAAAACAAAATGATCGCGATGTCAGCTGAAAATTTGCACCTTCGATTGGCCATCAGAACTCAAGCGCCGGCCATGGTGATGTTGTGGCCCGCTATAACAGCCGATGGTCGCTCTCCGCTCGTATTAATCTACCATGGCATCATAATAAATGCCGAATATTATCGCTAAAATAATCTGGGGGTGTATTAAAGTCTTGGGCACGCAAACATTTTGGCCGCAGACCTTGGACATTTCAACGGGATTCAAACCCAAAACCACCCAGATTAAAAAAATAATAATAATTATGGCGTTTGACTTTGTTGCAGTTTTTTTAACTCACCCTGTATAGTTCATGATATAACTTCGAAAAAGATTATATTAAAAAATATGTATTGGAGTAGTAGATAAACCGGACAAAGTTCTACTTTATAGTATAATTAGGTTGAATGTGAAAAATTCTATTCAGTTTTGCCTGATATTACATATATAGTGAACAATAAGCGTAAAACCGGATGAATATGTATATTGAAGCTATATAAAAGTCTGAACCGATCTGGATAAAATTTGGCAGAGGTACTTTCGAGCAGTATCAGTATCAAATATCATTGTTGTAGAGAGCATATTACACATGTGAGGGACTTGTATAGCAACTCGGATAAAACATATATATGAGAGCTAAAGCTGTATCTGAACCGATTTTCTCCAAATTTGATGTATTTGCTTCTATACTGAATTTGATCGAATGTGACAAAATGCAGGTCATTTGGTTTGAAAGTGGTCATTTGGTGCACAATGAACCCGAAATTAGATAAAGATATGAACCGATTTTGACAAAATTTCAAAAACTTATTTCTGAGCTGTACTGATAACTGGTACCAAAGATCATTGTTATGGAGTCCATAATATTCTTGTGCAGGGACTCAAACCCCCAAATCTAATGAAACATATATATGGGAGCTATAGCTATATCTGAACCGATTTATTCCAAATTTGACGTACTTGCTTCTAGACCGAACTCGGTCCGATGTGTCAAAATTCAGGTCATTGGACTAATATTCACAATTAGTCCGCAATCGGTTGAAGACGTATATGGGCCAAACGAATGATTTGTGAAAAAAATTCTTCTGGATCGGGCAATAAATGCGACCTGTACTTTGTTAACACAAACACATGTACAGACAAATCGTCTCAGAATGTGATTCTATGCAGACCATCAAAAGTAACTCGCTTCCTTTGCATGTTACAAACAAATGCACAAAGACATAATACCCTGACCACCTTGTGGTGTAGGGTATAAAAAGGCAGTGTATTTCAAATTTCAATAAAATTTGGAATATGTGATGGAATTTGGTCTTAAAATTTATTTGTCAAATTATATTAACATCAGCTCAGATTTGTAAATAGTTCCCATGTAATTCGATTTCGTATACCAAACAAATATGAATTACCAATTGCAATAAAATTCAGAATTAGTGGCTGCATTTGGTCTAAAATTTGTCAAAAAAAAACTTGTTAAATTATATTGAAATTGGTGCAGATTTGAATATTGTTATTGGATATAGGGAAACTAGTGCCCATCTAGACAATTATCTGCTATGGTGTTAGGTATTTTTTGTGAAAGTAGGATATCAAACTTAAAACAATTTCGGTGATTAATGTCGCTAATATCATTAAAATACGGAATAAGGGGAGGTGCCGTTATATGTAGGATATATTAATACACAATTTTCCGTCATAGATTGTAGTACCCATTACGAGCTTCAAATACGAACTTTGAAACAATTCCCTTGAATAATGTCCCTATAATCTCAAGATAACGAATTTCGGGAAATACCGTTGTATGGGGGCTATACGATATTGTGGGTCTATATAGACAATTCTCTTCCAGGGAGTAAAGTATTCAGAAGGAGTTCCTTGTGTAGAATTTCAGACAATTAATTCGTTGAAAATGTGGCTAAAATCATCAAAATACCGAGTATCGGGGGTGCCGTTATATGGGGGGCTCTACGATATCGTGAACCGATATAGCCCATCTGCGAACTTGTCCTACCTGCAGGCAAAAGATTGATCTGTGCAAAAATTTAAGCTTCATATTTTAATTCGTTTTGACTCTATCGCTATTAGCACAGACTTACATTCGGACATGGCTAAATCGTCTTACAATTTTACGCTGATCAATAATATATACGCTTTGCTAGGTCTAAAATTATTATTTCAATGAACTAAAACGGAATGACGAACTTAATATACCGTCAATACTATGTATGATGGAGGATGGGGGGCAGGTGAAGGGGCACTTTTAGTACTTCGTAATATACAATCAACTATAGATCAGGGCTATATCAGCTAATACCTTCAGAAGCATTTGTAAAATGAAGAATTTTTTACGATACCCCAAAAACTTTCAAATCGAGGCCCTCTAGCTGGGCCAACTAATTCCCCACCCTCAACACTTCCCACAATTACCACGTCGGTGTGTTGTTCTTGTTGTTGTCGTCGTTGGCGAGTAGATGTGTATCAAAGAAAAGTAATGCGTGTGAATGCGGCAATTCTATTTATTCTCTTTGTACACTGTTCAAGCCATACCCAATTTGTCGGCTGTCACAAGCATTCAATGTTAATAACTTTATCAGTTCGGGTCCAACACTCTCTACGCTAATTCTTTGCCATCGGTCTGTGGGTTGGTTGGTTGGAGACCATCCGACTGCTTACAAATTCAAAAAACCGCAAATGGTGTTCCGTGAAAAGTTCTTTGTCATTCTAATGATGATGACGATGGTGATGAGTGGTAGCCTTACAGCTGTCGTGTTTGGTGGTTTAAATGCTGACCGTAATCTTACCGATTTTAGGCGACAACGCGAAAAACGAGGTTTGATCTTTGAAAATGGAGGTGCCATTAAGGTAAATCTCATTGTGTCATTTACATATGTAAATATGAGTGTGCGTGTGTGTGTGCATATGAATTTAGGTTAAGTGAAAATTAGAGCGCACAAAGCGGTGAAATGAAATTTAGTTTGTGAAAATGTATTATAACACAGATTCCCACTCCCCACAATCAAATGCAAAGGTTCTAGAGAAATTCTGTTATATTTGGCTACAAAATATTTCCATTTTTGGAAAAAGAAACCCAAAAGACCCCTTTGATGCCCGACCAAAATAATTCTCATGCAATCGGATTTTTGAGAAAAATGTCAAAGATACCTGTCACAAAATTTGTGGTTTTAATATTATACACGATGTGTTTGGACAAAAAATTGTAGATATTTTATAAAAAAAAATTGCTAGAACTTTCTAGTCACGAATCGTGAATTTTTAAAGAATAATTCCAGACAAATTGTGCCTTATCGAAATGATGGTCTTAGATGCTAGGTCTCTTTGGACCAAATTCATATAGAGTCGGTATAGAAGTGTCCGTCCGTCAGTCTGTCTGGCTGGTGCTTTAGATAACTCTCGAAGTGAGAATCCGATTTTGTCCAAATTGGAAATATCGTAATATTATTGCCAAACATAGATCGAGTTTGGAGATGGGCAATATCGGTCCACTCCTTCTGGTACCTTTCTCACAAAAGGTCGACATTTTCAAAGAAAGACTCACCCAATTTTGTTGAAATTTTGCAAATTCAAATATTATTGTCAGCTGTGAAAATTGATAATATCGGCTCACTTCATTAAGTATCTCCAACACAAATGGTAAAAATGTGGAATAATTATAACTCTTATAAAATGTGAAAAAGGAGTCCGCTTGTCTTCAAATTTAACCCATTTTCATTAACACAAGCTTTGATGTGAGAATGGGATATATCGATATATAACTCCATAAATATTTACATTTCGGGGTTTTTAGCGTGTGTTTCATTCAGATATTGAAAGAGGAAGAATAGGGTATTTTAAAATGGTCAGAACTCCTTAAATATCAACATTTCGGGGTTTTTAGCTTGTTTTTGACATTTCGGGGCCTTTAGCGTGCTTTTTTATTCAGATATCGAAAAAGAAAAAATAGGGTATTTTAAAATAGTCATAACTCCTTAAATATTGACATTTCGGGATTTTTAGCATGGTTGTCATTCAGATATTGAAAGAGGAAAAATGAGGTATTTTAAAATGGTCATATCTTCTTAAATGTTGACATATCTGGGTTTTTAGCGTGTTTTTTCATTCATATATTAAAACAAGTAAGCAAAGGCTACAGTCGAGCGGGGCCGACCGTTGAATACCCTACAACACTACAATAAACGATACAGTTTATATAGGCGAGATGCTCGAAAGAATTCCACTAGATATTGTGACAAATAATATAAGAAAACCGTCAGGTTTCGTTCTCTAATATTCAAATAATGGCAACTTAAACTAATTTGCTCATTTCCAATTTATTGGTAGATGTTGCACGTAAATGGTCTTCCTAGATCTGGAACCAATATTTCCCAACGACCTATAATCTCTCAGAAGTGGCAAAAGATTAACATTTATTATTGGTTTTTGACTGAAACGAATCTATATGAGATACAGCCATTTGACTATATTCTTCAACGAAATCAGTGTTAACGAAATAGTCAGAAGTGCGTCTTTCCTGTATTTGTGAATTCTCCAAAAAGTCACTGGAATGGACATTTTCGTATTTTGTCTACAAAAGTTGGTAAACTCCTTTACACATTGAATATTTTTGGATGGCCATCCAAAACTGCTTGGCTTTTGCAATGTCCGGTAACCCCCATTCAAATGTGCCTGAGGATCGGGCGATAATTACGACCTGGTGACAATTTTGCAGTTTTTTGGTCCATTTCAACCCCTAAATATATGGCGATCATCTCCAAAAAGAGTAGGCTTCTATTCTGACCATCATCTTATCCCCACGCAAAATTTCGTAACGATCGGGCCATAAATGCGATCTGTATATTATATCCTGATATCCTAACAACTTAGTTTTGTTAGCTATAGAAATATTACCAAATGTTTAATTCAAAATGAAAATATGACAAAATTGAAAAAATATGAAAAATGTTACAAAATCAATATTTTCATCTTTAGAGAGATATTTTTATGCGATTTTTTAGACGTTTTTTCTTTCCTGCCAAGAGGCCATTCTGAATTAATGAGAACTGTCGAAATCAGTTCAGCCGTTCTCGACATATAAGAGATCTTTCAAGCATATCTTCTTTGATAGACATATATATCGCACATATTTTGCTATATATTCGATTTTTTGGATCTTAACATCAATGTAAAGATCAGAAGTAACCTTGTCATGGCTTTATGATTTCGCCGGAATTTAAAATATTCGCGGTTTAATGAAAAATTTTGAATTTTTTCAACACAAAATGTGGTCTATTTACCCGTCTATTTAAGACGTTACGGTCATTTTAAAATACCCCATTTTTATACCCTACAACACTATGTGTTGGGGGTATTATAAGTTTGATTGGGCCAGAATTTATGTAACACCTCGAAATATTGGTTTTCCACATAGGAAAGTATATATGGATCTTCCTATCTCACCGAGCTGAGTCGATCTAGCTAAGTATGTCCGTCCATTCGTCTGTCCATGTTAATTTGTAAACACTCTACAGGTTGCAATTATGGCCCGATCCTCACGAAATTGAAAATGGAGGTGGGGATAGGGTCAAAATAGAAGTCTATTGCTTTTGGAGATAATCACATAATATTTAGGGGTTGAAATGGACCAAAAACTGAAAAAATCCTGATATTGCAGTTGCTCTACAAATCACAATTATAGACCAATCGACGCGGAAGTTAGCATGGGGCTAGAGCTTAGGGCTGGGCTTTCCAAATTGTCATAGGGTGAAATAGACCATAACATTTGTGTTAAATAAAAGTCAAATTTTCCATTAAACCGCGAATATTTTAAATGCCGGCGAAATCACAATAGACAAAAAGGTAAATTCTGACCGTTAAGTAGATGCCGATAGCATAGCGAAATATATATAATGTGTATATACAAAGAAATGGGATGTTAGTTAGAATACTTTTATCTCAAGAATTGCCAATTCAGAATGCCCTCTTGGCATAAAAGGTGCATATAATGATGTTAATATAGATTTGTAGTATTTTGTGAATTTTTTTTTATTTATTTTTCATATATTTTATCGCATGCGATTTTTATACCCTACAACACTATGTGTTGGGGGTATTATAAGTTTGATTGGCCCAAAAATTATGTAACACCTCGAAATATTGGTTTCCCACATAGGAAAGTATATATGGATCTTCCTAGCTCGCCGAGCTGAGTCGATCTAGCTATGTATGTCCGTCCGTCCGTCTGTCCGTCTGTCCATGTTAATTTGTAATCACTCTACAGGTCGCAATTATGGCCCGATCTTCACGAAATTTAGAATGGAGGTGGGACTGGGGTCAGAATAGAACCCTATTTCTTTTGGAGATGATCGACAAATGTTTAGGGGTTGAAATGGACCAAATACTGAAAAAATGTCGGATTTTGCAGTAGCTATACAGATCGCAATTATAGACCAATCGACGCGGAATTTCGCATGTAGCTAGAGTTTAGGGCGGGGAAGAAGCCTACCAATTTGGGTGGTCATCGGATAACATTTAGCGGGTAAAATAGACCATATCTTTTGTGTTGAAAAAATTCAAAATTTTTCATTAAACCGCGAATATTTTAAATCCCGGCGAAATCACAAAGCCATGGCAAGGTTACTTCTGATCTTTACACTGATGTTAACATCCAACAAAACGGATATATAGCAAAATATGTGCGATATATGTTTATCAAAGAAGATATGCTTGAAAAATCTCTTATATATCGAGAACGGCTGAACTGATTTCGAAAGTTCTCATTAGTTTAGAATGGCCTCTTGGCAGGAAAGAAAAAGCGTCTAAAAAATCTCATAAAAATATCTCTCTAAAGATGAAAATATTGATTTTGTAAAATTTTCTCATATTTTTTCAATTTTGTCATATTTTTGGCATATTTTCATTTTGAATTAAACATTTGGTAATATTTCTACAGCTAACAAAACTAAGTAGTTATGACATCAGAATATCATATACAGATCGCATTTATGGCCCGATCCTTACGAAATTTTGCATGGGGATAAGATGAGGGTCAGAATAGAAGCCTACTCTTTTTGGAGATGATCGCCATATATTTAGGGGTTGAAATGGACCAAAAAACTGCAAAATTGTCAGCAGGTCGTAATTATCGGCCGATCCTCACGCACATTTGAATGGGGGTTACCGGACATTACAAAAGCCAAGCAGTTTTGGATGGCCATCCAAAAATATTCAATGTGTGAAATAGTTTGCCAAATTTTGTAGACAAAATACGAAAATGTCGATTCCAGTGACTTTTTGGAGAATTCACAAATACAGGAAAGACGCACTTCTGACTATTTCGATAACGCTGATTTCGTTGAAGAATATAGTCAAATGTCTGTTTCTCATTTTTTTGGGAAATATTGGTTCCAGATCTAGGAGGACCATTTACGTGCAACATCTACCAATAAATTGGAAATGAGCAAATTAGTTTAAGTTGCTATTATTCGAAAATTAGAGAACGGAACCTGATGGTTTTCTTTTATTATTTGTCACAAAATCTTGTGGAATTCTTTTGAGTATCTCGCCTATATCAACTGTATGGTTTATTATAGTGTTGTAGGGTATTCAACGGTCGGCCCCGCTCGACTGTAGCCTTTGCTTACTTGTTTCAATTAGACTTATAATATTGAAGTGTACATTTTATATTATTTTTTCATCTTACAACACATATTGGGGTAATTATATGCAGATTGTAATTATAATCCAAGATTCACGAACATTTTGATAGGGGTAGGGTTAGGGTCAGAAGGGCTAGGCCTATTGGGTTGAAATGGACCAACAACTAAAAATGTTCCTGATTTTGCAGCCATTATAAAGATCAAAAATAGAAACCAAAGGACACAAAATCTCGCATGAAATTAGAGTTCAGAACAGCGGGTATAATGGACCGCTACTCTGTGTGAAAAAATGCAAACATTTCCATTCTACGGAAACGCTGGAAATAACTTGCAGGCGAAATCCAAAATACATAAATGGCGAACTTTTGGCTTTTTTATGCTGATTTCGTTGATGAATATGACCAAATATCGTAGACAAGCAAATCATATAGATGAGACCAAATTTGAAGATACACAGGGGCCTCTTGCTTTTGGAGATGATCTCAAATGACAGAACAGAAAAAAATCCTGATCACACAATTTAAGCCTGAGAAGAGAGTTAAGGACAAGGAAGAGAGTTAAGGACAGGGAAGAGTTCTAGCATTTGGGATGACCATAGGATTATATTTAGTATGCACGACGGAGTGCGTAAATATTGGGCAAATGTCCCTAGTCAAATTGCTAAGGGTAATATCTGGGCAGTGTTCCGTGACATAAGGGACCTTCTAACATATTGTAGTGTTGTGGCGTATCACATGGTCGGCCCCGCACAACTATAGGTTTTGATTACTTGTTTAATAATAGATTTTTTCCAAGCTCTTTCTGATCAAAAATCTTATACTTTTTATATTTTTGTCTAAAACTTCAAACAAAAAATTGTGGTTGCTTTTGGAAAAGCGCTGGTTAAGAATAGTAAATTTTAAGGAGTCATGCAGTTTTAAAAAATTGTGGGGTTTTAAGAACTGGATTGATTAAAAAAACATATCAAAAATTCAATGGCAAAAAATCTTTGACTTTTTTAAATAATAACAAATAAATAATGGCCATTCCTTTTCATACCCTATACCTAGTAACCCTTACCAACTAACAACTCTCAAGAATTATGAAAGAATTTTTTTAACATAAGTTACTCCTTCTGGCACCTCCCGAATAAAAGGTTTAAAAGCTAGAATAATTATAATCCACAGTTAATCCGTTTAGCATTTTTTTAATTTCTTTATTTCGCAACAATGAAATATTTATGAAGAAAGGGTTTTTTTATTTGGGGAGGTAGATTGTTGTTGGAGATGTCATAGTTCAGCATACTAAGAATGCCAAAGACCTTTCTTGAACTTTTGCGTGTGACTCTAAAGTTATGGTACCACCTTAAATATATATTTGCAGTTTTTTCGAATCAAATAAGGATGTTTAAGGGAGTATTTCATTCATCTATCTCCACCATTTCTAATTCCTTCATTCCTAAAACACGAGAAGAGATTTTTCTACACTAAGTTGTTCGACAAAAAATGTTGCTGTTAATTGTGACCCCTATTTTGTGATACTATTTAATAGCTAAATTTTTCTATCCCAATTTTGCCTAGTAAAAATTTAACAATTGCACATTTTGCAATTTTTAATATGTGTAATATAATATTTTCCCTTCGCAGCTTGTAATTGGTCCCATTATGCCCATACCATTTGGAGATCCCATTGTTTGGCGTTCACTTATTTGTGCCTATAACATTCACGTTGGCGATTACAAGATGCCGACCACACCACTTTACCCGTGGGACAAATGGGAAAACATATACGCCAGATCAAAAGGCTATACAGGCAAAATAGAACCGGATTTCTCGAGAGAGCTATTCTATACGGGTCTGGAAAGTTTCATGGACCGAATTAGTGGAAACGGCAGAGAATGTCTACTGCGTTCGATTTGTGAAAATGCCCAGGTGGATCATTATATGGATTTCTTTGGTGAAATATTGAATGTGATATTGACGTAAGTAATTCTTATTCGTTTTTAATAATTTTAATTAAATATTGAATTTGTGTTTTACAGGCCTGGCAAAGAAGATTTGGATGAAGTCTACCACACAGCCTATGAGATGGGAAGAAACGGAATCGATTGTCTGCAATATTACTCAAAATGCCCTAAAGGATCAAATATATTTGATAATGTTATTGAAGAGAATTAATTGGACCGATGAGATAATAAAATTTTGTTAAATCTATATATGTACTCGTATGCTGGTATATGTAAAAGAGTTTGGCGGTGAGTGAATTGCTGACTGACGCCCAGATAAAATAATGTTTTGTAAAATTCGAAGTGAAGTCATTGTATTACAAGGAAGAGCAAAGGTAGAATTCTTAATTTGAAAATTAGCTCTTTTTAGAAATTCGAACTTAAGGGGAACGAGGGGGAAAATATTCGTCATTGAAAAATAAATAAATAAACAAAAATGTCTATATTAATAATAAAAGAGTAAAGTAATTGACAGACTGAGAGACTTAACGATTCATAAACGCCCAGACGAAACGGCTGAAGCAAGAATCTTAAAATATTTTGTGAGGGCCACTATTGGAGCGAAGGTGTTAGATGGGGCTTTTTGTAGGGTTTTTGGAAATTTGTATTAGAACGGTCCGAATTGTACTACTAAAAACTGCAACCAACCTCAGATTGTCACTGTCATTTCTAAGCCACTCGTCCGACAGCTGTTAAAATTATTCCAACGACAGCTTATTATTTTGTTTACAAGCGTACAAAAGCATTTTGGTGAGAATTTTCCAGAAAAAAAGTTATTCCTGATGGAATTCAAGCGAGATTGTAAAAAAATCCCAAGTGGCTATCGTTAGAGCACTCCAGCATTTAAATGTGAATAAATCTGTTGTGTTTCGTATCATCGCTCATTACCGTGATACTGGTAGCGTAGCCCGACGTCAAGGAAGTGGACGGAAGAAAACAGCAACATCAGCAGAAATGGTTCAAAAAGTAAAGAAGTGAATTGATCAAAACCCGCTTCACAGTGGCCGAAAAATGGCTCGCGAGCTGAACATATCGCAATATTCAATTCGGCAAATATTGAAAAATGAGCTCGGGGTAAAGCCATTGAAATTCCAAAAAGTGCAGGAACTTACACCGCAACAGAAAGAAAATAGACTCAATAAAGAGTTGCTTCGCTTCACCGAAAGTGCTGAACTGCCGAATTTGGTTTATTTCGATGAGAAAACATTCGTGGTCCAGCAGTTTGCAAACACAGAAAATGATCGTGTTTACTTTTCAAAGAGGTCTGCTGAAAATGTGCACCTTCGGTTGGCCAACTGAACTAAAGCGCCAGCCAAGGTGATGGTGTGGGCCTCCATAACAGCCGATGGTCATATTAATCGACCTTGGCATCAGAATGAATGTCGAATATTATCGCGCAAATATTCGAGCCTTGGGCACGCAAACATTTTGGCCGCAGACCTTGGACATTCCAAAAGGACTCAGCACCGTAGCATTCAGCACGCGCCACCCAAGGATAGTTACAAAATGAGGTTCCTCGCTTCATTTCCAGCGCACAATGGCCACCAAAATCTCCGGATACCAATCCGTTGGACTATTGTGTCTGGAGTATTTGGGAAAGCAAGGTTGGCATTAAAAATACCAAAGTGTCGATCATCTCAAGCAAGAGCTTCCCCGAGAATAGGCCGAAATGCCGTAGAGCAACATTCGGGCAGCAGGTGATGGTTTCATTGGCCGCTTGAAGGTCATATTTCGTGCCAAAGGTGACCAATTCGAACAAATCAAATTTATTCTAAAATTTGAGGCTATTTCCTACATTTTTTGCTTTCATTCAATAAAATTTAAAAAAAATGTAAAAATTTATGGCGTTTGACTTTATTGCAGTTTTTATCTAACCCTGTCACTATGAGGGGAGGTTCAGATATGGAGGTGGCATAGGAAATGCGTGCTTTGAAGAGTATTAAATTGAACAAAATTGGTAACGGGGGAAGTTAAAGAGCTAAAGTCCTGGATTTTCAAGTGGATGCCAGTTTTGGTGTCTGTGTTTGAGAAGAATTGAGATATGGGGGTGGTTTTGGAAATGTTTACTAAAATAATAGGAAAAGTACGAAATGTTACTTAATCTGCCTATTAGGAGAATGTATAGAGCTTGAATCTCGAAATTTTATACTTAGGTTTCCTTAGGTATCTGGTGTTGTGATATATAGGTTTAGTTTTGGAACTGTGTAAAATAATTGTTCGAAAAATACTAGATGGTACTCATTTTGCGTCTACTTCAAATTGAAAGTTTTGGTGTAAAATATTAAAATGTTCCGATTTTTTTTTCCAAAAAGTGAAAAATTTGAATAATATTAAAAACCTTGAATGTCTGAAAATTAAGCATGTTATGATAAAAACATTTTGCCAAAGGGAGAAAATATACATTTTTACTAAAAAGCCTAACACGGAATCTTGGAACGAATCTAAATTTAAAGTAAATTTAAATATATTTTCCAATATTCCAAAAACAAAAAAAAAAAAAAAAAATCCAAAAATCGTCTACCTCAAAACGCTTCGTTCAAGATTACCGCTACGCTTAGATTGATCACATTATTACAACAATGGTGGCTGTTAGCGGGAGAATCAAATTCTAGAACTTGTTTGTTCGTTTGTCAGTTTAATTCTAATTTTATTGAACAAAATGTATTACTTAAGTGCTAGTACACAACAGAAATCTTAGGGGGGTTTAATCTTATGCATCTACTTAAGGCTACAAACACTTGACATTTCTAATTCTATGCATAGGCCTAATGCAACACACAATTGCTGTGATCTATATTTACTCCCCAGCTGAGCGCATGTTTATGGGAGAATATTCTTTATTATCAATGCGTCTCCAGCAGCATGAAGTGTTATCATCCCTTATGCTCTTATCTTTCATGCACACACATTTACAAGTACTCTAGAATGTTGGGTTAAAAATACATAAACATTTTATAGCCTAAATCACTTAACGATCTAATTTATTGCAGCAGTCTTTCATGTTCATAGTTTTATGAACATTTTCCCGGGCGGCAAATAATTTATTTAGACATCCTGGCCTCGGGGAAATTGAATTTCGGTTATGCGTTTTAATTTTTTCTGTCTTCTTATAAATAAAATAATTAGAATTATTATTACTATAATTACTAAAATAAAAGCTACGTGTGATGAGATGTGATGGAACTTCAAGCCTCGCAATTCCACATTTTCTTTCTTTAACTTGTCCACGAATTTCTTTAGCTCGTCAATTTCTTGATGATGATTGATAAGTATATTTCCAAGGGGTTTGATTGATTCTTTTTCGTCCGGACTTACATCCTTCAAAAGAAACGAATGGAATTCTGTGCTTATCTCGTTATGAACTCTATGCACAGCTACCAACGTTACTTTACCGATCCTCGCTGTACAGTCTGCATCCAGCGTGAGAATTCCTTGCTTTGGAAGTTCCATAATCGTCTGTTGTTTGTGAGAGCATTGCAAATGAGCTGTTGCACTTGAAAAGGTTTTAAAAAGCCAATTGCCATTTCGTTTCAATGGCATCCAATAAGGCATTCGTTCCACTTCGTCATAGGCGCAGTTTAGTTTTATGTGCGGTCTCAGAGGAGATAATTCACAATTATTTGTAGTTGCATCTCTCCATGGAAAATTCTCTTCGCACATTATCTCCTTACCCAACGTCTCTTTGCACTCATTCAGCATAGGCTGTGTTAAGAAATGAAAAGAATCCAGCTCAAAATTATATACAATGTACGGGGAATTCACCCGGGCTATCAATATCGTATTTCCTTCTTCAAATGGTATCGGAATTACTTTGTAAAACTGGGATGACTGCCGATTGAACAGCGGTATTTTTATATTAATTACCAGTTGGGACCCCACAAACGATCCGTGGCACGTCATCAAATGTAAGATCTCTTTTAATTCCATTCCCGTACGCTTTCCTGGCAGTACATATTTTTCAGGCAGAGCATCTCGTATTTTTACTATCTCTGCTTGTAATTGTTTGGGTGTTATCAGGACGGGATGAAACTTACCGCTGTTTACATCAATTAATGCATCAACAACTTCTTTTTGGACTTCGTCACATTCTTCCAAAAGCTCATGAATTTGTTTTGCTATTATAAAGAATCGTATGGATTCTCTATACACGAAGTAATTCTCATTCATTGTAGCACTTATGTTCTCAATTTTGCCTTTGATATCCGAAAAGTGCGAATTCACTTCCTCTGTGGTTTTCCTTAAAAGATTTACTGTAGCGTCGACTACAGATGTCTGTTGTTTTGCTAACTTCTTCAAATCCTTTTGGTTGGCTAATAGATTTTTCATATTGCTCTCCATAGCTACTCGATCGTCATCGTCCATTACCCCAAATGCCCAGTGTTGAAACGAACCTACAAATTTCAACGGAGCTCCTCTTTTTTGACGATTGTCTTCTCTGAGGAATAATCGATTGTTGGTCTTTATCTTATTAATCTTGAGTTCCATATTGTTAATCGTGGACCAACACTGCTCCTCAAAAGTTTGAAGTCGTGGGCATAAGCTTTTTGATGTTTTCAGCAATTCGGAAGCCAGGTCTAATGTTTCTAAATATGGTTTCAGCTCAAAGTACACAACCATATTCCATGATGAGGAAACCATGTGAATTTGAGACATGGGATCCAAATATACCGCAGCCGAACTATTCAGTTCATGTACAGATGATGCCTTGGTAGATATTAGTAAAAATAAGTTCAGCATCATTGCCCACGTTATTGGTTGTTTCCTTATTTTTCGCTCACATCTTGTCATATTAGTATGTGTAATTTCCGCCTGTTTTTCCTGTCTGGGCAATTCTTCAGATTCCTCGTCCATATGCTCCAATGGACATAATTTGTTAATTGGCCTCTTTATCACGCCGTCTTGTGTTTTAACTGTCACAATCCTTACAACTCCGTCCTTCCCTGGATGGACTTCTACCACCTTGGCCAGTGGCCATCGCGCCGCGTGCGTTTCTTCGTTTTTCAATATCACCACATTGCCTATTTCCACATTATTATTTTGTTTCTTCCATTTCATTCGGTTTTGTAATGTGGTTAGATACTCCTCTTTCCATCTGCTCCAAAAATGACTTTTAATTCGTTGTAGCAGTTTCCATCTATTAAGACATCCTAAGTTACCTTCATCGATAGTCGCCGGTGATTCTAACATCGGACGCCCAATTAAGAAATGTCCAGGTGTTAAAGTGTCAATATATTCTGTACCGCTTCCAAGTTCATGTAGCGGCCTCGAATTTAATACTGCTTCAATCTGAGATAGCACCGTACTCAACTCCTCGTAAGTCAATTTCGTATCACCAATTATTCTTTTTAGGTGATATTTCATGGACTTCACTGCTGCTTCCCAAATTCCTCCAACGTGAGGAGCTGCCGGCGGAATGAAATGCCAACTTATTTTTTCATTTTCCAAAATGGGAGCTAACTTCGTGTTGTTTTTAACGGCATCCAAAAAGTCTCTGTCAAGCTGCCTTGCTGCCCCTACGAAGTTCGTTCCGTTGTCTGAATATAAGTCGGTTGATTTTCCTCTTCTCGCGAAAAATCGCCTTAGCGCCGCCAGAAATGCTTCCGTTGTAAGTCCGCTGACAGCTTCCAAATGAACCGCCTTAGTTACCATGCATACGAACACCGCTACGTAACCCTTCATAGCCTTCACTCCTCTTGTTTTGGAGCACCGTATTTGTAGCGGACCCGCATAATCAATGCCACAGTGTTGAAAGGGTTGATTTATACTGACACGGTAAGCTGGTAAATTTCCCATCAATTGATTTCGCACTTCACCTCTAAAGCGCGTACATCTTGGACAACACCTAATGCAAAGTTTTATCCTATTTTTAGCTCCAATAATCCAATATTTTCGTCTTAGTATATTTTCCATAAGTCGATTTCCTCCATGCATCGTTTGAATATGACAATTTCGAATGATATTTCCCGCTAATCTTGACTTTTGAATAATTATTGGATGCTTTTGGTTATAGTTCAGCTCTGACAAAGCAAGTCTTCCACCAACCCGCATTATGCCATTTCGATCCAACTGTGGATGTAGTGAAGCTATTTTACTTTGATGATCCACCGTTCCCAATGTCTTCAATTTCCTTAGTTCCACTGGCCATTCTCTTTCTTGATGTAGTTTTATTATCTCCATCTCTGCTTCTTCCAACTCTTTTGCCGTCAAATGCTCATTTACTGCTCGCTTCTTTTTAGCCCTTTTATAAAACGCAGTAGATAAGCCATTACACGTATCTGTTTCTTAAATGACGAATACTTCATCATACTTTCATATAAGTGGTTTTCAGTCGAAAACTTTACTGTTGTTGCTACTGTTTGATTTATGTTGCTTTTTGGCCAATCTTGTTCATCTTTTTTCAGCCATTCGGGGCCTTCCCACCACAATGTATTGTTTGTCAAAGTCTCCGGTGGGACACCCCTTGAACCCATATCTGCTGGATTCTCCTTTGACTTGACGTAGCCCCATTTCGCTTCGGGTATTCTCTCCAAAATATCCATCACCCTTGTTTTTATGAACTTATCCTTGTTTTTGGAGTTGTGAATCCATGCCAAGGAAATCATGGAATCACTCCAAGCAAAAGTTGGTGTTGCTGACTTCAATACTCCTTTGATCTTCTGTAGTAGTTTAGCCAATAGATGTGTTGCACAAAGTTCCAGCTTTGGAAGCGTCTTCCTATTTTTTACTGGATTTACCTTACTTTTTGCAGCCACTATGGTCACCTGCGAATTTACCTTAAGGTATACGACTGCTGCATAAGCCTTCTCGGAAGCATCTGCAAACCCATGTAACTGTGCAGTTTTGTCTTCCAATATTCCAAACCATCTTGGAATCCTTAAATTTTCTAAAGCAGGCAGACTGTATGTAAACTGCCGCCAATCTCCACTCAATTTCTCCTCCAATGGCACATCCCATTCTATTTGTTGTATCCATAACTGCTGTATAAATAGTTTTGCTGTTACCGTGACTGGCGTCAGCCAACCTAATGGATCGAATATTTGTGCCAGTCTTGACAATGCTATTCGTTTTGTCAACTTGTCTTCTTTTTTAATTTGCATACTAAATGTAAAGCAATCGATCTGTGGATTCCATTGTAATCCCAATGTTTTCAAGCATTCATCTTCTTCTATTCTCAGCACTTCATTTTCTTCATTCAATTTCACCGCACTCAATACTTCAGGAGAGTTTGATATCCATTTTCTTAAATGAAACCCATAATCCTCCAGTTGCAGCGTTATCTTCTTCTGCACCTCCCTGCATTCTTGTTTTGTATTCGCTCCTGTTAAAAGGTCGTCCATGTAGAAATCTTCTTTGATCCTCTGAGCGATTTCTTGATTCTGGCATCTATTTCCAATTTCTATGAGCGATCTTACAGCCAGAAATGGTGCTGATGCAGTGCCATATGTTACCGTAGTAAGTTTATATTGTTGGATAGGCTCCGACGGATTACTCCTCCACAACACATGTTGGTATTCCTGGTCTTCTTTTTCAACTTTAATCTGACGAAACATTTTCTCCACATCAGCTGAGATGACAAACTTCCACGATCTCCACTTTGTTACAATGTCAAATATATCTTTTTGAAGCCTTGGTCCCACGTGAAGTATGTCATTCAGCGACTTCCCATTTGAAGTTGTCGATGAAGCATCAAATACCACTCTAACTTTTGTGGTTAGACTTGTTTCACGTACCACTGCTTGGTGCGGCATATAATACAAAGCCTTCTTACTTGGATCCACCTTTACCATTTGGCCCATGGATATGAGCTCGTTCATTGTTTTCTCGTACTCTGACTTTAATTCCGCATTATTTTCTAATCTTTTTTCCAAGTTTATAAACCTCGCCATGGCTCTTTTATATGAATCTCCCAAATCTTTTTCTTCAATTAACGGCAAACGCACGACAAATCTTCCTGAATTGTCTCGGCGTGTTGTGTCTTCATATAACTTAAGGCAGTATTCGTCTTCTTCGGTCGTTTTTTCATCTTCTATTTCCTCTATTTCCCAGAACCTCTCAATTGTTGTTGTTGCTGCCGATTTCTTTATGTTCAATCCAGGATTTACTACTACTGTTCCAGATAAAATCCAACCCAACTTCGTATTTTGTCCCACAATTTGCTCATCGTGGCGAACTCCTTCTTCCAATATTTGTGAGTAAAGATCGGCTCCAATGACTAAATCGATTCTTTCCGGGCTGTTGAAATTTGGATCTGCCAAATTTACATTTCTCCATTTATCCACGTCATATTGAAACCTTCTGTCGGGATGTGCTGATGCAAGTGCTGGAAGGACTAGTGCTTCTGCCTTAATCATTATGTTGCTCAAAAATCTGGGTCGTAGTTCCAGTGCAACTTTAGATTTCGCCACGCCAACTAGGGTCTCTCCTAGACCTTGTAACCTCACTTCTGTCTTCTTCCTTGGTAGCTGCAACAGTTGAGCCGCGTCCTCTGATATGGATGTAATTTGTGATCCTTGGTCTATCAGCGCTTTGACTGTTACAAATTCTCCATGCAGTGATTTTATACGAACTTGGGCTGTTGCTAGCAGAACATTTGTTGTTGTATTGGTGGTCATTGCTTTCGTATGTCCTCTTCGCTCTAAATGCATCACTGTGATGTGATTCATTCCACACTTCTGGCATTTAATTTCATTGTAACATTTTTTATCCTTGTTGTGGCTTAAGCATCTGAGGCAGACCTGTGCTGATCTTGCCCAATTGTATCTTTCATTCGAAGATAACGCCGAAAATTTTCTGCACCATGCGATATCATGTCCGCTCATTTTACAGAACTTACATTGTTTTAATTCCGCTACCACTGCTGATTTTTCTTGGAGTTTGTACAGTCCTATGTTATTGTGTTTTCTGCCTACTGAAGCTTCCAAGGCTTGAAACTGCTGCTCCAGGAAGTCCATCACATCCTCAAGTTTTTGGATGTCCTTGGATTTCTTTACATTCTGCTCATAAAGAATAAGCCCATCCTTATCCAGTTTCCGTATAATTATTCGGGCTAAAATGGGATCCGCTTGCTCTAGGGGAATATCCATTGCTTTCAACGCCTGAATACTTTCATTTACATTGTCCAGCAAATTTCTTATGCTTATTGCTGACAGGCTGTTGATGTTTTGATGGTCCAGTATTCTATCTACCAATTTAGTGAATAAAATTCTCCTGTTGCCATATCTTTTTTCCAGTAATTCCCATGCTGCTTCATAATTTGCCTCGGTCACTTGAAGATGTTGCACCAAGCGAAATGCCTCTCCTTTTAGATTTGTCTTGAGGTAGTACAGTTTTTGAACTTTTGATAATTTGGAGTTTTCATCAATCATCTTTTTAAATAAATCGTGAAATGAACTCCACTCTTCCACATGACCACTAAAGGATGGTATTTGAACTCTTTTTAGTTCTACTTCCAGTGACTCCTCTTTAAGACCATCTATCCTTCTTATCATATCCTGCATTTTGCTCTCAAACTTTTCTTCAATTTCTTCAAATTCGAGATCTACCTCTTCCATTCCATGCACCGTTGAGAGCTCGAGATGCAATTTCCTAATTTCATCCATATGCTTCTCCCACGATGACTTCATGTACTCCAAAGCATATTTTGATAGTCCAGCTAAATCGCTTTCAACGGCATCGGCGAGTTTGTTTACTTTTTTCCTGAATTGGTAGATGATTGCGCTTACTTTTATATTCGCCTGATTGCCCATTGGTGATGATTCTATATGGGTTTGTCTTTCTTCCTCATTTTCTCTTTTATTCTTCTCGAACATCAACATAAATTGTTGCATTTGTTGTTGCATCTGTTGTTGCATTTCCTCTTGGAAGGCCTTTAACTGTTGATCGAGCATTAGCCCATGCACTTCGGGCTCTGCTTCTTTTATTACCCTTTGCGGTTCTCGCTCGACCTCTTCTTCCAAACTCGCTAGGAGTTCTTTTGCTTTTCCATAGTTCAAGTTGATGAGATCCCAAACATTTTCTTTGAAATAGGGATCAGTGTTTTCGCCATGCACTCTCAGCATTTCGTGGTTCGTAGTGGCTTCCTTCATTTTGCTTTCCAGGGATCGTAGTGTGTCACCCATGGCTGCTTTCCGAACCATGCCTGCTTGCAGTTTTTCCTTAATCCCAATTACTTCTTTAAGGAGTAGGCTTTGGAGCTTATACAAGTTATGTCTCGACGCCATTTTTCCTTGTTTTGTGAAGCAAGTAAAATTTGTAGTTTTAGCTTCTTTTCTTTTAATGCCCCTGTGGCTTTTTTCAAAATTATTCTGTTTTATTTTTTTGCTTTTGTTGCCCCTATGGCTTTTTTTGATTTTTTCTTTGCCCCTATGGCTTTTTTTGTTTTTTCTTTGCCCCTATGGCTTTTTTTTTTTTTTTTTTTTTTGCCCCTATGGCTTTTTTTTTGTTTTGCCCCTATGGCTTTTTTTTTTTTTTTCTGTTTTTTTTTTTTTTTTTACAAAAATATAATTCTCTTTTTTTTTTTTGAAATATATTTTTGTGGCCGCTGGTTTTTTTTGTCGAAGGACCAATGTTAGCGGGAGAATCAAATTCTAGAACTTGTTTGTTCGTTTGTCAGTTTAATTCTAATTTTATTGAACAAAATGTATTACTTAAGTGCTAGTACACAACAGAAATCTTAGGGGGGTTTAATCTTATGCATCTACTTAAGGCTACAAACACTTGACATTTCTAATTCTATGCATAGGCCTAATGCAACACACAATTGCTGTGATCTATATTTACTCCCCAGCTGAGCGCATGTTTATGGGAGAATATTCTTTATTATCAATGCGTCTCCAGCAGCATGAAGTGTTATCATCCCTTATGCTCTTATCTTTCATGCACACACATTTACAAGTACTCTAGAATGTTGGGTTAAAAATACATAAACATTTTATAGCCTAAATCACTTAACGATCTAATTTATTGCAGCAGTCTTTCATGTTCATAGTTTTATGAACAGTGGCATAAAATCATTAAAATAATCTTAGAAATATGGCTACACCCACACGCTTAATCACATCACATTACAACCGATAATGAATTAAAACCGATATAGACACATGTGTATTATATGAATGAACGTCGCAATATTTATAATTACTAAGCTCGAATATAAATTACTTAATAAATTTTAAACTAAATCCTCCACTTAATATATACCTCGATATGTGCTTGGAATTGTGTTGGAAAATTATTTGCGGTGACAGGTGTGTGTGTGGCGTGTGTATTATTGAATAAATAATAAATAGATCAAGTCTTTAATATTTCACGAATTAATATTTCGACGTAAATTCGTAAATTCAAAATTTAATTAATAACAGAGTAACTGGCGTAGTATGTGTGGCAATGGATTAAGGTCAACAGGTCAGGCTGTATTTATCAAATTTTTGAAATATAATACACAGTCGTGATGTGAAACGACGGCACAGAGAAGTAGACCCACAACACGCGCACACACACACGCATGCACACATTTCAACATCTTGGATACACACAAAGGATATCGCAATGTGACACACAACAACATCCCACAACACAAATAAAAATATAGGTAGGTTTATATACCTATATAAGGTATGGTGTATTACTAGACAAAATATACATTACACACACACACACATCCACACGCCAACTTAGTTACCTTCGAACGCATGTTGCCAGCCTAGCTGGGATATAGACAATCAACAAATTTGGGTTATTCCCCAGAGACACATAAACCAGATGAGTAATAACAGGAAAGAGCAGGAGGACAAACAACAGGAGCAGCAGCAGCATCACCGTTTGCCACTACCCAGCTAACAATTTTTTCCGAGGGCTCTGATGTCCGATTTTTTGTCGAGATTTTCTGCCGTTTCTTCAGAAAAGTTTCCGAGTAATCTGCACATACTCGTTTCTTTTGTTTTGTTTGAACAAAACAAAGCTAAAGAGAAAAAAACAGCGTATACAGAGATTTAACTCTTTTTTGGCGAGAATTTCTAATGTTACTCCAGAAAAGTTTCCGAGTAATCTGCACATACTCGTTTCTTTTGTTTTGAAAAAAAAAAAAAAAAAAAAAAAACACAAAAATTCTGACATTAGCAGAGAGTTAACTTTTTTCTGTTGAGATTTATTTTACCGTTCCTTTCGAAAAGTTTCCGAGTACTCTGCACATGCTCGGTTTAAATTAATTGAAGAATTTTGTGTATACAACTTTTTTGTTTTTTTGATTATGATCAGTTTGTCGTCAGAATTTGAACGGAGCACGAGTGCAGTGTGTTGCAGTGAAAAGTTAAAATGAAAATTAAAGGAAGATTTGGACCTTCAGTACCTTATGGTAAGTAAGCACCTTTCTACAATTACTACTTTTATTAATATCTTGAATTGTTTAGCTACGCCGTTTAAAAAATCAACGCCATGACAATGTAAACACTTTTACATATGAAAATTTTAAACTTATTTTTCAAACTGGCGAGGTCAACGTTTTCGTGGCACGAAATGTACCAAAATACAGCTGTAAAGGACATCTAATTTATTAGGCTCGTTAAAGGTTTGTATCCTTGTGTTTTAAACTCTTTGATAATGTAAATAATATTTTCATTTTTATTACTTAGATGCGGCATTGGAACATATTCCGGGAACTATGGGAAGTGCCATATAAACCCATATAAAACATTTCTTCAAATCGGCTAAAGATAGGCTTAACAAACCTTAAGCTGGGCCAAAATCGAACTCAGTCAACCTTAAACTCCTTTTTCATCTGCGAATAAGCCAGCCGATGACTTGATCCAGCCAAATATGCGCTTTATATATTTCCACCCTTAATTATATTGATTTATATTGAATTGCAACTATTTATATTTTTTATATATTAATTTCCGTATTCCTTATATTTTACAAAAAAACTGAATACAAATGTTCTGTCATTAAATTGAAAAATACAAACATAAACAATTATCTAAAAACTAGATAAAGTTTTATTATTTCTTTATGTTTTTCGATTACAACTATAAAATAAATGTACCTTTTTTTGCGAATTTCGTATCAAACATCCTATTATTTTCCGAATGAATTATTCGAATTTTTTCCGATTTTCGGATAAAACTATAGAATAAATTCAGATTTTTTTCAGAATTTCGAATCAAACATCCGAAAATTTTCAGAATCTCGGATCAAATATCCGATACGTTTCCGAATATCGTATCAAACATCCTATATTTCTCCGATTTTCCGCTAAAACTATAGAACAAATTCAGATTTTTTTCCGAATTTCGTATCAATCATCCGAAAATTTTCCGAATTTCGTATCAAAACATCCTATATTTCTCCGAATTTTCCTTTTTTCTTTGCCGAATTCTATACGAATTCGCCCCAAAACTCTTAAGTTCTTTCAGAATTTTTTCCGCAAAATCTTTCAGAATCTTGGGCAATCTCGCACAATTTTTTTCCGATTTCTTTCCGAATTCGACATCAGAGTCGGAAACTTGTGCAGAGTTTTTTTCCGAATTCGGAAGAAAATCGGAAAAAAATGTTTGCTGGGTACATACATACACACACACACACCCACCTATACATATTTACACTTGAACACAAAGCCATAAACACAAACTAATGGCTACGAAGGAATTTCGTCGGTCGGTCGGACTTAGTTGTTTGTTTGTGTCTGATGATGGTTTGTCATGTGTAGCGAGATAGACTGGATTCTAGGATGAACAAACAACGTTAAACAAATAACCATATAAACATACAGACATACATACAAATGTGAAACTACCCAGTAAACAATTTTTTCCGACTGCTCTGATTTTAGATTTTTTTCCGAAATTTCTGACGTTTTTTTCAGAAATTTCTGATAGAAATTGGTCCGATTTTCTAAACGTTTTTTTTTAGAATTTCTGCACATTTTCCTGTGTTTTTAAGCGAAAAAAACTCGAAAAATGTACAAACGGAGAGAGTAGATTGTCTATTGCTCTGGCATATTCTCTCCCACATGTAAACGGATGGTGGTGGTTTGACACATTCTCTCCCATAGTAGTTGTTGTTGTGATCATTCATTTCAAGATCTCAACAACAACAAAGCGCAAAGCAAAAATGCTATTTGTTATTGTTATTGTGAACTGTTAGATTTTCCGTTGTAAAAATGTGCGTTTTGTTGTTGTTGTGAATCAGCCTCTTTCTCTTTCGTTCCCAAAAAAATATGATGGAAAAAAATTGCAAAAACAACTACATACCGGTTTTCTATGTGCACTGCTTTTTATTTTTAGTTCTTGTTTAGCAGTTGAAACAGAAACGTGCTACTGTATGTTATGTTCCTAATAAAAATAATATTTATAATGTAAATGTATTATAGATGTAATATTTAAACTACATTTTTACGAAACCCGAAATAAATTGTTTGTTTTTTAAATAAATATGTGTTTTTTTTTTTTCATTTTTAAGTGGTGTGACGATTTTTTCGATATTTCTTCCGAATTCTGAAAGATTTCTTTCAGAAAATCGGAACTTTCTCCCGAATTCTGAGCGTTTTTTTTTTCAGAAAATCTGAATTTTATTCCGAATTTTCTTTCGAATTCTGACCGATTTCTTTTAGAAAATCTGAATATTCCGCCGAATTTCCAGACGAATTCTGCCCGATTTCTTTCAGAAATTCGGAGTTGTCCTCCGAATCTTTTCCGAAAATCTAATTTTTTCTCCTATTTTTTCAAGAATTTTCACCGAATTCGGACCGAATTCGTCCAGAAAATCTAATATTTTTTCAGATTTTTTTCAGAAAATCTTTCCGAATTCGGTGACCACGTCCATACAAATTTCGTACCGAAATCGGAAGGAATTCGGAATCAGAATCGGACATTTTTTCAGAGATTCTGACAGAAATCGGACCGAATTCGGCAAAAATTGTTTACTGGGTAAATACTGCCTATGTCATGGGAGTGACAAAAAAAAAAAACGAAACGAAACGAAACAACGAACTAATTCACAGTTTCTTTCTCATAAAATATTGTAGTCTAATTTGTATGTATGTTTGAACACGTGCGTATTGAAATTGAACTATGGCCACAGACAATATGAAATGATTTTTGAAGGGGGGATTAAATGTAAGGCGTTAGAAACCCATGTTACAATGAGTCATCTTTAAGTATTCGTAAGACAAGGGGATACTTAGTGCCCCCACTATTTCAATGTTACTATTAATGACAATGAAGCTTCAAATAATAATAACAACATACCGTCTGTATTACCTGTAAGCTAAAAAAGTAAGCACAGGCTGTAGTCTTTATTTGTCTATAATGAAGACTGCACTAAGAAAAATCCCCATATCTACTACATCATGTAACAAGTAAAAGGTCAAAAGTCGGGCGGGCCGACTATATGAAACCCTACACCACTATTTATACCCTACACCACAAGGTGGTCAGGGTATTATGCCTTTGTGCGTTTGTTTGTAACAGGCAAAAGGAATCGAGATAGACCCGTAGTTCCTTTTAATGATCTGCATAGAATCACGTTCTGAGTCGATTTATGCATGTCCGTCCTTCCGTCTGTCCATGTATTTTTGTAAACAAAGTACAGGTCGCATTTATTGCCCGATCAAGAATAGTATGGAATTTTGCACAAACGACCAAATTGAGTCTAGAAACTAATACGTCAAATTTGGTGGAAATCGGTTCAAAATACCTGTAGCTCCCATATATATTGTTCATCCGATTTATTATATTTATCCTCCACAGCCGTAACATGCACTCCGTTACAACTATATTTAGGGAAAAATATCAAGTTCAGTATCAAGTATCAAAACTGCAACCAACTTCAGACTGTTGTCATTTCGAAGCCACTCGTCCGACAGCTGTAAAATTATTCCGATAACAGCTCATTATATTGTTTGCAAGCGTGATTTCGTGATTCGTGATTGAATTCAAGCGTGATAGTGTGATTTCTTTATATTCGGCTGGAAAACAACAAGTGGCTATCGTATCGAATAAATCTTTTAAGTCTCCTACCATCGCCCATTACTGTAATACTTGTAGCGTAGCCCGACGTCAAATAAGTGGACAGAAGAAAACAGCAACAGCAGAAATGTTTCGAAAAGCAAAGAAGCGACTTGATCGAAACCCGCGTCGTGAACAGAACATATCGAAATATTCCATTCGGCGAATATTGAAACATGAGCTCAGGGTAAAGCCATTGAAATTCCAAAAAATTCAAGAACTTACACCGCAATAAAAAGAAAATAGACTCAAAAGAGCTAAAGAGTTGCTTCACTTGACCGAAAGTGGTAAACTGCCGAATTTGGTTTTCTCCGATGAGAAAACATTCGTTATCCAGCAGTCTGTAAACAAACAAACTAATCGTGTTTAATTGCCAAAGAGGTCAACTGGTGCACATTTTCATCTGACCTCTTTGGCAACCAGAACTGAAGCGCCGGCCATGGTGATGGTGTGGGCTGCCATAATAGCCGATGATCGCTCTCCGCTCGTGTTAATCGCCAGTGGCTTCAGAATAAATGCAAAATATTATCGCGAAAATATTTTGGAGGGCATGCAACAGGACTTGGACATACCAACAGGACTCAGCACCATCGCACTCAGCACGCGCCACCCAAGAATGGTTACAAAATGAGGTTCCTCGCTTCATTTCCAGCGCACAATGGCCACCAAAATCTTCGGATACCAATCCGTTGGACTATTGTGTCTGGAGTATTTTGGAAAGCACCTCAAGCAAGCGCTTCGCCGGGAATGGAAATACCGCAGAGCATCATTCAGGCAGCGTGTTACGGTTTCATTGGCATTTTGAAGGCCAGAATTCGTGCCAAAGGTTACCAATTCGAACAAATCTAAACTTATTCTAAAATCTGATGCTATTTCCGACATTTTTTGCTTTCATTCAATGAAATTTAAAAAAAAAATAATGAAAAAATTATTGCGTTTGACTTTGTTGATATTTTGATAATTTTACCAAAATGATTTGAAATTCGAAAATTTCAGTTAGCAATGGATTCCACTTTCTACGATAGAAAATTGTCTGTCATATAACGATATTCGGTATTTTGATGATTTTAGCTGAAATTATCTCAAATTTGGTGTTTTGAGGTCGTAATATGCACCATATTCTCCTGCAGATAATTGACTGTAGAAGTCCACGTATAACCCGATATAACTGCAACAAAAGATATTCGGAATTTAATAAAATTATAGCGGCATTTTTAATCGGATTTTATTTTACATTTTGCAAATACTAGTAGCTCGTCAAAAGGATTTAAGATCCACATTTTGCCACAAATTAAAGTAATGTGGGACATTTCATAGTCGGCCCCTCCCTACTGCTGTCTTTTGTTTTGGTCGGATTGACCAGTAATAAATCAATAAAAAATATATTTTTAATCATGGAATTTCACAGAATACATAATTTTTTCATATACCTCTCTACTTTCAAACATTTGCGCAACACTGTAAGAATGTGCCCATTTTTATCTCGAATATAGCAAATTACAAGCCAAACAAATCGTTCGATTTGATTTTAGTTGCATAGCTAATGAATTGGAACTATTATAACTGTATTTAAAACCATTGTCCAATGTCATGTTGTTGGTAATGCAGTAATCCACCTGGGGGCAATGTGTAAAATGTACCAGGAAAATACATGCATGTGTGTGTACCGACTCGAAACAACATGATCCCAATATTTCTATTCTCTGTTAATCGTTATTATCTCCCTCTGCCATTGTGACATTCCAATTTAAAGGCTACAAACACATATACAGACATACTACCTCATATATGTGCAAATGTATTGTTGGGCGTGTGGTCGTTACACAG